TCATATTTGTTGTAAGAGACAACTTTCTGAAACATCCCCAAACATTGCAGTACTTTAAACTCATTTGTACTATGGTTGAGCACATACCATGCGGTACAATACTGAGACATTGTCAAAAATCCCCTCCAAGAAGGAGAACTTTCCCACCAAATACAACATTCAAATTCATATTTTCTCTTATTAATCTGTCTATGGTGTTTATAGCATGACCGGATGCCATGGTGCATTCATCAATAATGAGAAGTTGGGCCTTTTTAATAATTTTAGCAACTTCACTGTTTATATTGAGTCTAGAAATTGAGTTTCATTTAATGGAATTGGTAATTTATATTGGGAATGAAAGGTTCTTCCACCAAGAAGTAAATTTGCAGGAATTCCTGTAGATGCTGTGGGTAAAACAGTACCACCATGACCTCTAATATAATAATGTATTAAAACTTTATAAAGATATGCCTCCACACTCGGATGGTGGGTTCCTCCCTCAAACCTCGCCCTCACCAGAAACAGCTCGAGGAGGGCGCCTCAGGGCCAGTGGGACTGATGGAAGTTGCGGGGTGGCATGGAGGTGATTCCTGCACTTCTGATCACTTGCACACTGTGTTTTATACCACAGCATGTGGCAGCGACTGTGAAGGTCGCCATGGCAACCCAGTGCTGACTACAGTTGGTTGAGCCTCAGTCATGATGGGTTGTTACACCCAGGGTTTTTATATAAATAGATGATGTCTTCTGCAAATAATGACAGTTTTAGCTCTTTTTTTTTTCCAATTTGGATGCCTTTTATTTATTTTTCTTGTCTGGTCGCTATGGCTAGCACTTCCAGTACTATGTTGAACAGGAGTGGTAAGAGTGGGCATCCCTGTTTTGTTCCTGTTCTTAGGGGAAATGGTTTTAGTTTTTGTCTCTTTTGTATAATATTGGCTATAGGTTTGTCATATAAGGCTTTTATTATGTTGAGATATGATTCCTCTATTCCCACTTTGCTGAGAGTTTTTATCAAGAAAGGGTGTTGAATTATGTCAAGTGCTTTTTCTGCATCAATTGATATGATTATTTGATGTTTATCTCTCATTTTTTAATGTGATGTATCATGTTTATTGATTTGCAGTTATTGTACCATCCTTGCACCCCAGAATAAATCCCACTTGGTCATGGTGTATGATCTTTCTAATGTAATGCTGGATCCAATTTGCTAGGATTTTGTTGAGGCTTTTAGCATTTATGTTCATTAGAGATATTGGTCTGTAATTCTCTTTCTTTGTAGTGTCTTTATCTGGTTTTGGAATTAGGGTAATGCTGGCTTCATAGAAAGAGCTTGAAAGTGTGCCTTCCTCTCGAATTTTTTGAAATAGTCTGAAGAGGATAGGTTATAGTTCTTTAAATGTTTGGTAAAACTCCCCTGTGAAGCTGTCTGGCCCAAGGCTTTTGTTTGCTGGATGTTTCTTGAAGACTGCTTCAAAATCCTTCATAGTTATCAGCCTATTCAATTTTTTTAATGCTTCCTGATTGAGTTTAGGAAGGTCACATTTTTCTAGGAATATGTCCATTTCTTCTTAGTTGGCCAGTTTGTTGGAATAGAGTTGTTCATAGTATTTTTTTTTTACAATCCTTTGTATTTCTGTCAGGTCTGTTGTATTTTGCCTCTTTCATTTCTGATTTTACTTATTTGGGTCCTCTCTCTCTGCTTCTTGGTGAGCATGGTAGAGGTTCATCAATCTTGTTTATCCATTCAAAGAACCAGCTTTTGATTTCATTGATCTTTTGTATTGTGTTTTTCTTTTGGTCTATATGTTATTTATTTCCACTCTGATCTTTATTTCCTTTCTTCTGCTCACTCTGGGCTCTTCTTGTTCTCTTTCTAATTCTTTAACTTTTTTACAATCCTTTGTATTTCTGTCAGGTCTGTTGTATTTTGCCTCTTTCATTTCTGATTTTACTTATTTGGGTCCTCTCTCTCTGCTTCTTGGTGAGCATGGTAGAGGTTCATCAATCTTGTTTATCCATTCAAAGAACCAGCTTTTGATTTCATTGATCTTTTTTATTGTGTTTTTCTTTTGGTCTATATGTTATTTATTTCCACTCTGATCTTTATTTCCTTTCTTCTGCTCACTCTGGGCTCTTCTTGTTCTCTTTCTACTTCTTTAACTTGTAGAGTTAGATAATTTATTACCATTTTTTTTCTTGCTTTTTTGAGGTAGACCTGTAATGCTATGAACTTCCCTCTCAGGAGTGCTTTCACTGTGTCCCATAGATTTTGGATTGTTGTGTTTTCATTGTCATTTGTTTCCAGGATGCTTTTTATTTCTTCTTTGATCTCTTTGGTAACACAATCATTGCTTAATAGCATTCTATTTAGCCTCCAAGTGTTTTACTTTTTTGATTGTTTTTATTGTAGTTTATTTCTAATATTATGCCA